AAACCCCACCTCCTCTGCTGGGGCGGTCGTTCCGGATGAGTGACATTCCGGCTATCTCAACATCAGCATCAGTCACGACTTGGTGTAACCAAGTTTCGGGAATAGAAATTAGGTCCCAAGCATTTGCAACCTGACGTAGTTGAAGTTCGGTAATTTTATTGAGGAGCCCTTGTGCGTTAGTGTACATAAATGAAAGTTTCTCAGATTTAAGCAATGTTTCAAAAGTTATACAACTCATACGTGAAGTTTCGCCGACCAGTGAGTGGCCGACGACTAATCGTTTTATCGATGTGTACTTGGTGAAGTGCTTAACTTCTTATTCACCGTCCGTGTTGTTAGTCCCGTATGTAATCTTCGACGTAAAGTGTAAGGTGTCTGGTTAATATCATCTTCTACAGGTTGTATGGGCTCATTCTACTGGTACATTTTTCTTTCATAGATCCCATCGCGTTTGGTTCTTTGAGTGACATATCATCTCTAGGAGGGATATTGCTGATTTTCTTCAGCCGAACCTCGGATGGTAGCCTGCAACGAAACATGCACCAGCTTTTAGCATCCGTGCTAACATATGTTTTGACTGAAGGACCACCTTCAACACTCTCGGGCCACTTCCTTTGTAGTTCGGTGAGATACGCAGTCGTGACACGGATTCCGCTAACACATCAACCAATCAGAGTGTTTCACGAATATAACACCACTGTTCTCTATCATGGGTTGTTATTTCATGCTCATCACGTGCTTCAGTTTCAGGAACCCCGTGAAGAAGTTTGGTTCTGGTTGAAGTTTCCTTCCGGTAGTCCTCTAAGTTGCGGTTAACTCGATAACGCTCGCCTCATGGGATGTCTGGAAAGATATGGATGGAGCAGTGCTCATTTCTGAGACTACCTGTCGACAGTAGTACTGATTCTACTTCAGTGATAGAGTTCAGCACAACCCGCAGAAGTCTTGGCTCACCGAAATGTTTGGAGTTGGGGTGTAGTGCAATACGTACTACGTATACAGGTGTCAGTACAACTCCGATTATTTTACTAACAATATTCCACTGGTTAAGGTCATCCAACTGCCTGCCACTTATCGATATCGACATTGATTCTGGGATATTAGAGCACAGTACGCTCAGTATAGGTAGTTGTTTCTTTACACCTTTCGACATGTCGCGGTTAATGATTGAAGTACTCGGAGATGTACCGCAGGAAACCGGTGGTGTTTGCACTAGGAAAACTCAGCTACGCTCCTCAGTTTCGGATCCAGTTGGGGGTGATGTTAATTTTAAATGACGGCTCTTCTTGGAGGTAACCGTAACCCAACTTTCGCTCTTACCGGCTTGCTCTTTTTCTACACACGTCGTCGGGAGTTTGGAAGTAGCCTTACGTGTAGTACTTCGAACAACCTGGGAGCCGCATTAGTGAAAAGTGAGCTACGTGTGGTATTGAGACAGCTGTTGATGTTCTGGACTCTAGGTGTCGTGTTGCTTACGATGTTATTAACAGTTCTTCGCGGGTTAGGAGCAGCAACCAAGGGAGAGGATTGGGTTACACAGTACGCTATGCTTACCCCAACCGTAGTGATTTTGTTGGTCACCATAGAGAGATTCATTGTATTGCGTGGGCAGGATACTCTCAGTATGCCCAGGCCTAGACAGGCGAACGATTAGGGTTCGCAACCAAAGCGTTTGGTTCAAAAGCCTTACCGCAAGGAAGGGGGTTTAGCGTTGGGCTACAATGAGTCCGTTTTAAGGAATAAGGAGCTGCCCTCATTCCAACCCGCAACCTGGAGGACCAGAAGGCTGAGTTTATCTGGCCTCTAACCATTAACCAATCTGGTATGAGTGGCTCTGAAGGTGCAAAAATGCACCATCCAGCATAGCTCATTGGATCACTGAGGCACACAAACCATCGCACCACGGCAAGGCACATCCTCACTGTGATGGGGTTGCATGGGTAGCTGACCTTTGAACTTGATCCCTGACCTGTGCACAGGGACCTAGGCCTGGTTACTATTGTGCTGAAGTCTGTCGTTCGTTCCGTTGGACTGGTGTCAGGTCCACAGAATTTCGTCTAGTGGGCTGGTGATCTAGCGACGGTATTTTGACGTATGCCGCCTCCAGCTCAATGCATCAGTTGACTGAATTAGCTGTAGAATGCAATGCTTCCAGTAATTCCCTCGTGGGTTTCGTACTTCCCCGAGCCAGCATCGTTTCATTTTCCAGATCGAAGTAGTGGCTTTCTTGGTCCTCATGTGTGGAAATCAGCGAATCGGGCCATACCCCCTTATGGTGGCTTTGTGCTCGGTGATCCGTGTACAAACCTTTCTCCCAGTTTGTCCAACCTAGCTCTTGTCACAATCGCCGCGTTTTATCTGGCAGACAACATGGTTTGGGTGTTTTGATCGACATTGTTCTTAGGGTTGGAAATCAATTTTCTTAACGTGGCACTTGGTTTGTGAGCCGTCGAGGTTCCATGTGCCTTAAACAATTTTTCAATCACTTCAGAAAGGTTTGTGACGCACGGGAGCACTATACGATTGTTTTTCTGCTGTACTGGCTGTTGCTGCTGTTGATCGGGCGTTCGTTACTTTAGGCTTCTTTTGATGAAGTTTCTTGGCTAACCGTTGTTCCGAAATACTCGGTGTATGTAGTTTCCTTCAGACTTTCGCAATTCCGTTGTTTTGTAGTGTGTTTCCGCTGCATTGAAGAGGCTCTGAAGGCAGCTCGATGAACCACAAAAGGAGTTGCGTTCAAAGCTCCTTCAATGCAGCGGAAACACTACAAACCAACGCAATTGCGAAGGCCTGAAGGAAACTACATACACCGAGTATTTCGGAACAACGGTTAGCCAAGAAACTTCATCAAAAGAAGCCTAAAGTAACGAACGCCCGATCAACAGCAGCAACAGCCAGTACAGCAGACAAACAATCGTATAGTGCTCCCGTGCGTCACAAACCTTTCTGAAGTGATTGAAAAATTGTTTAAGGCACATGGAACCTCGACGGCTCACAAACCAAGTGCCACGTTAAGAAAATTGATTTCCAACCCTAAGAACAATGTCGATCAAAACACCCAAACCATGTTGTCTGCCAGATAAAACGCGGCGATTGTGACAAGAGCTAGGTTGGACAAACTGGGAGAAAGGTTTGTACACGGATCACCGAGCACAAAGCCACCATAAGGGGGTATGGCCCGATTCGCTGATTTCCACACATGAGGACCAAGAAAGCCACTACTTCGATCTGGAAAATGAAACGATTCTGGCTCGGGGAAGTACGAAACCTACGAGGGAATTACTGGAAGCATTGCATTCTACAGCTAATTCAATCAACTGATGCATTGAGCTGGAGGCGGCATACGTCAAAATACCGTCGCCAGATCACCAGCCCACTAGACGAAATTCTGTGGACCTGACACCAGTCCAACGGAACGAACGACAGACTTCAGCACAATAGTAACCAGGCCTAGGTCCCTGTGCACAGGTCAGGGATCAAGTTCAAAGGTCAGCTACCCATGCAACCAGAGCCACGGAGAGATGTCTCGACCGATAGGATAGCTCGCCTACGCGACTAAACACGGTAACATATAAAACACACTCACATTGAGACATTCCTATGCTACGCTAATTACTACGCGCTACACAACAACGTACTGATGTCACTTCGATTATTGACAAAACCTTGGTAACAAAATTGCCACGTTCAGCGAACAGTTCGACAGCTATCAAAAAACTTGAATTAACAAGTTTCGTTTTTATATAAATCTTGGGTATCGCGCTTGCTTATGACCTCGGCGAGCGCGCAGTTAGTGGGCCCCTTCGTGTGAGGTAATCATGTTACCTCACCCCGATAGCGCCGGATGCGAACTCAAGCGCGCTATAGTAAACACCGCTGAGTCAAGTGTCCAAGCTGATATTGGGAACTGGAAGCAATATCAACCATCCGAAGCCGGATTAATCTCCGATAGATAGATCTAGCAGAACACACTGAACAAAGTGAAGCCACAACGATAAACGAAAGTTCGACCGAATTATACTCCGCACCCCGGAAGCGTTTTGAGCTGGGATAAACATACACCTGTGTCAAGCGCAACCAATCCGTCCCCTGTGGCGAGCAAATGTAGGAACGATAGAGAAAAACAGAAATTACGGAGCTATGGGTGACCAGCTAACATCGCGTACAGTGAGGAGCGCAGCCACTTCTTCCGGTAGCGTTCTCCGTGAACCAGCATGCTATCGCTGCTCAGCTAACATATGTGGAGAAAAAGATACAGTTGGCGATCATCTGGGCAACGCGGAGCCGGCGCACAGCAGAAACGCGTATGGACCGCGATTGTTAAAGATGAAGCACAATAATAAACGGCACGGCCCGATCCCGGCGAGCTCGCCTGTCGAGTACTGGCTCACAGAACTTGGTAGTGAAGAGGTGACCACACCGAGGTGCGTTAAGCCCTCCCTAACTACCAAGCTTACCTCCCGCACTACTGAGCCCACATCTCATTGTGAACGCCAGTAGCGGAAAAAATTTTACGAAACTGAGAGTTCGGATAAAAGTTAATGTTTTGCAAGCAGTTACGTACGAAAACCCAGCGCGCACTCACACTGCTTCGCATCGCTCCGCCACGCAGCAGCGCACTGACTAAGTCACATCGGCTGTTGGGTGGGGGGACGTTTTCAGCAACACTGCCGAGCTCAGCGAAAACCCCGATCATCAACTTAACAACCTGGGCTGCTTTTTAACTTCTATATCAAAACTGGATATTCTCCCAGTTAGAGACAGAAAACCGGAGATTCACTGGTCCAAGGTCCTGTTTAATTTAAGTCCCAAAATGTCAACTTAAGGGCCAGGTCCGGACCCGCTTGACGCTCAAAGTCCCTTTCGAAAGGCAACCAGTATCAAAGGTAATTAGGATCTAGGAGCCACGACGCGTAAGATGAACAAGTAGCCCAGTCCGCTTCTTCGAGAAAATACACACCAGCAACCCCCAGTAAATCCGTAGAAGCCAGTAACTAATTGATATTAGTTTCAAGCATATCTTGTGGAAAATTGTTATACAGGAGTACAAACAACGCGATCAACGCAATCTAACGAAACGGAACAACGCAAGTTAGCTACTACTCGTAGAACGCTCATCGCAGTGTTGCTAAGGCAAAAGCACGTGGCGCAATGGAATGGGCGCCCAAAAGCCAAGTAGTACAAAGCGATGCGAAAACGGATCACCAGGTACATCGGGTCAAAATGATGAGGGATGAATCGGCCCTGCAAGACAAGTGCTCTAAAACGACATGGATATAAGACAAAATGATGTGAAGAAAGTAGCGCAAAATGAAACCGAGGGGTTTACAAGGAAATGAAGCAAACGCATCACGCCTAAAATTGGTCATACATGTGTTGATTCAAAGGGGTTGGCTAGCGCGATTCTCGCGCAGTTGCATTGTGAAGCAATTGCGGTCATCATATTCTTGGATTGCAACAAGACATGAGCCACAGTAAGTCAATAATGTTAGATTACCATGAAAAAAGTCAACAGTTACATTTTGTTGTACAAAACGTTTCCTATGAGAAAAGCCATCAGTAGAATAGAAGAGCATTGAAAGAGAATGACATGAGGATACAGTGAGGAAAATGAAGCTTAAAATGACTTTCATAAGTTGCAAAAGTCGGAATACAAAAAGCATCTCCATCTTTAACGATGACTCGCTCCTACGCCCACCGCTGTTTCTCCGGTTATTCCCGCAACAGCTGCGATAGGCACGCTTGTCGTTGGAGAACCGGTAGAATTTTGAGAGACCACTGTATTGGACGATGGACCAGCGGTTTGTAATACTGACGTCTGCGACATCTGAGGATTCTGTATGTCGTTCTGAGAGACCATCTCGGAGAAGGCGCTCAGCTTGACCTGGAAGTAAACAGGACACCATTATTAATGGGGTCCACTTATGCAACTGCCAATGAGTCATTTTGAAACAAGTGCGAATGCCTTACAACCTCGCTCAGCCTGGGAGCATGGGAAGCCCGCAAGTTGCTCATCGAAAGCACATACAAAGTACATAGCTACTCTTGCGCAGCCAACTGGTTACACAACAATAAGTGCTGGGTGCACGTGAAGCAAAATCGAACCATGCAAGGTGACATTTCCTGCGTACGCAAACGGAAGCTCGGGCCTTATTCCAAATGTGATCAAAATGGATGGCTGAGTAGGTGTTCACTCGATGGGTGAAATGCGTGAATGAAGCTACGACAAGTGGAAAGGACTAAGCTAAGAATATCACGTCTCTAAATTGGCATGTTAGTGCACACGGCGTTGTCTACCACCAATTAGTCGGCACAAATTTCTCCGCAGTCAAAGCGTCAGTACATTTTGAACACACTCACTTGACGACTTGCGTAATGACCCGAGGCCAGCTGGCAAGTGTTCATCCCAGCCGAAGACAAAAGTGAGGTAAACAGCTTTGTATGTTGCTGTGCTGGAGGCACCAACGACGCTCCTGCGTGGGCTATGGGTATCAAATGTTGACTGGAAGCCGCTTGGGGAGTAGCCAACACAGCTGTCGACGATTGTTGCTGAGTCTGCCTAAATTGAGGCTGCAATGCCGGATGCATCAGTGCATTATGCTGACCTGAAGCGGAGTTGTGGTGCTGCAATTCCAAGAGAGGAGCAAAGGCAGCATATGGAGACAAGCAGGCAGCATCCAGTTGGTGGTTAGCTAACTGACCAAGTTGTTGTGAATGACGACCGAGCGGTGTTCCATCACAAGGAAAAGGGACGGGCTGAAAGGCAATCGCAATGAGGTGAAGCAACTGCACCAGGCGAAGCGGGTACCCTCCAAACCGTAAAGCAGAGGGGCCAATGAGCAGCTCGACAGCTCATAAAGAACGCGTTGGAATGCGCAATGGTAGCGAACAGAAGGGCGCGACTCTCAAGTAACAAACACCCTTCTCAAGATGATAACAAAAAGTGCCACAGCTTTGTGGTCACAACAGTCACAGCAGCCAAAATAAGTGGAACCAAATGAATTTCTAAAACATCACCAAGCGCTCGAAAGTGAGAAAGTAACGAAGGAGGGACAGCACGACTGGCCGACCGTCCACCGGTTGAATGAACAAACGCCGAGGAAAGACTGCTGCAAGCGTATGAACAACGAGTAACCGATCAAGCCGGAACAACTGGGAATAGAAGAAATTCTCACAACTCTCAAACCGGAAGCGAACGGACTCAACAGAGCCCAAGTGATAAAATAGCTCAATAACGTGAAGGCCTACCTCAGACTCCAGCAAACCAGAAGAGTGTGTGCTGTGATCTGTACTGTAATCACTAGTCGAGTTGGTTGCATAGGGCGAGCTGGTTTGCTGGAAAAACATGAGTTCGTGTCCGGTCCCAGCAAGAGGGCTGTACAAGTAGGTAGCCGGACCGAGAGCTGCAGTTGGTGAGCACTGACACGCACACCCCAAGTGAAATAAGCATGCAAATGAGACAAAGCGCAGAGATTAGTGAGGAAAAATGCAGCTTGATCAAGAACACATTTTACTCAACAACAGACAGCTAGTACAGAAATATACAAAGTAAACATCAGATACAACCAAGAGTGAAGCGCGGATAGGTGCTGGAGTTCGCAAGGGTTACTCGTCACAGAATGTCTACAAATTCAGGGTAGAATCAACATCAGGTTTGAGGGGAGAATCATCATCGTACTTTGGCTTTTTGCTAGGCTGGGTGGGAGTATCCGACGATCCAACACCATTGTTAGATAGGCAGTTCGTTTCCTTTAGGTTCTCATGACAAATCGGGAAATCAGGGCTACACAAAAACTCGGGGCTTATGAGATTGAGGTGATTCATAGAAGTTGAGGCAAGAGCAGCTAGAGCAGCCGCTGTGGAAGCTTCGATTAGACCATTACAGCCAGGACCAAGCATGTTCAACCCGGTTTGTTGAAGAGCTGAAGCAGCCAGTGCTGCTAGCACAGACGGCTGAGTCAGTCGGATGGTAGCCGGAAAAGTTGTCAGAGCCGGTTGCAATGGAAATAAGTTGGGATCGCTTACCTGTTGATGGTGGTGCAGGACTTGATTGGTGGTGGTAGGTGTGGACGTGGTGCTTGCCACTGGAACTGACGACGTAGACGTAATGACTCCAGAAGTTGATCCGTGAGCTGAACAGCTTGTCGCGTGCGCAGAAGTTTGTGCCGGCTGTTGCGCCGTAGGAGACCAGCGCCAAGTGGTCTGCTGGGCAGCGACCGCAGCGGCCATAGCCGCTGCTTGCTGTGGAGTCAAAGAGGCATTCGGAACGACGGTCTGTGGTCCACCAACTGTCTGGGTCATCGCGTTAGAGGTGGAACTGGTAAGCTGTGGATGACTCGGGCTGTTATTGGCTACCGTTTGTGGCCATTGTACGGCTGCCGCCATGGCTGCGGCCGCAGCCGCCATTACAGCAGCAGTGGAATTGGACTGCACACCTAGGTTTCCTCCATTGACGGCGACAGAGGGTAGGTGACCCCCACCACCACCCGTAGCTGCGGCAACGGGGGTGATCCCACTGGCAACACTTGCAGATTGGTACTGTTGCTGTTGCTGAAGGGCTGCTGCGGCTACTTGGTGATGCGACAGGTGGGCATATGGGGATGTGCCTGCCGACGTAGCAGAGTGTAGAGACGACGGGAGGTAAAGAGCCGCTCCACTGGGCTGCGGTAGCATCATTGTGGCGTACGGTGTGGCCGTCTGAACAATGGCAAAAGGGTAAATAAGGCCGTCAGCTTGCACAATGACGTTTGCAATAGTGACGATAGAATGGGCCAAAGAACAGTAAATCGACTAATGAGAGTAACACACGCCGCCGGTTCAGAGGCGCACGCTGGCAACTACAACGTACACTACTACTGTTCATGTGACGTAGTGTCACGCCTCAAGGCTTGATTTGGGTTCGGAATCACGTTGTCAAACAATGGCCACCAAAAATATTCATCCCCAGTTATTCAGATACACTAGGATCGATACCTACCACATCAGCTGTTAAATATAGAAGGGGACGAAGCTGACGAAGTCAGTTACAAAAGCACCGAAGGTAACCATGATTACGTGAATGCTATGTACATCTTAGGTAATCTTGAAGAACGATTTGCACAAGGGTAAGCTTATCTTTCACCAAGTTGCTATCAACGTATCATCAGCCGCGATGACAGATAAACGATGGAGACATCTTGATGCTATTATACAGAAGTCAAGGTCTGCGATTCACACAGTCGGTTATCAAAAAGTGGATGTATAGACCCAGTTGTAAATTCTTGGCATGCACAGCGTACACGGATACTGTAGTGCCAGGATTCACGGAGATCAGCCCATAATTTACATATTCCGCCTAGTGTAGTTAGTCTACTTAGCATAAACCCATGTGAAAGTGAAGCGGCTGTCTAACGCATGTCATTGCGGTTGTTCAAACTGGTGGTCCAAGCGATTTCGATGTCAGCCCATCCCGCTGGACGTGGTGAATATCATGTGAGTAAGTTTTACCGCTCTCATACTCACTTATGAATTTTAAAGCAATGAAAAGTCGCCACAGCGCCATAGAATAACATGCTGAACGCTGTGACTTAACTTTATGCTTTGCGAAGTGTGCATGACAGTGATACCATAGCACAATGTTGAGCCACCGTCTGCTTTTACCGGTTACGAGAAGCAGCCACTGTCCGATGATAACAGACTACATATCCGAAGAATAGAGCTGGCTTGGTGCCTCAACAAGAGCGGGTTCACAATGGCAGTAAAATGGAGAACAAAAACATCAGTGGAATCGTAAGCATGGGCCGGCCTAAGTCTGTTTTCACCGAGTACCTAACCTTCACTGTCTAACCACACGGTCGTTCAACGGATTGCATGGTTAAAAGACACGCCAACTGGCACGATCCTAGGATCGCGCTGACTGTTAGAGGACACGTATGAGACGCCGCTGAACTGAATACTTCGGAAAGTTCCGAATGGAGCTGCATCGAGCCCAGTAAGCATAGAATGCCTACGAATAAGAGTTTAATACTAACTTAGGATGTCCAATGAGACAACGAAATGGCAACTGCGGGTCGTAGCATAGGACACTCACTTGGGCAAGCATTTGATAGTCCTGGCTAGGCAAAGAAAAAACAGCCATTCCATTCTGAAAGCCATAGGGCATTGCACCACCAGCGAAGAACAAAGTTGTTGGTAAATCTGGAAAAAGAGAAATATCGTTAGTAACTGAAAATCAGGTTCTCACGCAGAGCGCAAAACTGTCGAACTAACAAAGGTGGCGAGTAGCGGGTGGGCGGAACACGTACCTGGCCTCGGAAATATTTGCTATAAAGTGGGATGGGTAAGCACTTAGCACAGGAACAATAGTTAGCAGTGACAACTGTACCCAACTCAGCGACAACAGGTACTCACCTGCTTCCTGATGGCATGTCCGATATTGAGCTTCCGGTCTTTAAAAATCAGCGTTTCGGACTGGGGGAGTAATTAAAAACGTTTGAACACACCTCATTCTTAATTATTTTTTCTGCCATTTCTTGGCTCTCAAACGTAACAAATCCGTAGCTCCTGGAAGGTGCTGCTCACGGATGCAACTCCTTACCCTTTAGAAACACCGAGTCGGTCACTTATTATCTTTACATCTTTCACTTGACCGAAACTAGAGAAGAAACTTTTCAACTCCTGCTCCGTAGTCTGAAAACCTGAGTGATTAAGAATGTAACTCACGTTCGAAGGTATGCCACCAACAAAAATGCGATTCGGAATAAGGGTACCAAATTTAGGAGGGTTCGATGATCCTCCAGCCAGAGCAGCGGGGACCAGTGCTGTCTCGGGCAGAAATCTATCCGAGTGATCACCAGTTTGCAGATTTATTCCAGCCTGCAACAAGAGTAGTAGCAGGAACAGCAGTTTTCCAGGACCAGAAACAGGAAGAAGCGAAGGAAAGCATACAGTTCAGGAGCCTGAGATGGACTCACCATCAGGGGAGCAGGGGCGATGGAAGGGATGCCAGCGCTACGAAAACCGCCAGCGGGTTACGGCAAGGCAAGATATTAAATCTCCCAGCAAAAGCGTGGGCAACGCTGTTTACATCTTACGGGGGTATCATCATCACTTCACTAGATATTAGATAGGCGTGTGTAAAATTTTGTATAGTTCGGAAAGTGAAACAAAATATGGAACAATCATTCTAATTACTAATAGATCTTAGCAAATATAATACCGTTTATAAGCATGATGATACCCCCTACCCAATTTCAACTTGATGAAGGCATCGACGGTTATCGACCTGGAAGGACAAACTAACCAATGGTCGCACGCGACGCGACGGTTCCGTGAATGGCCTGTTTCACCTCCACCCCAGGGTGTGCCAGCCAGCCTGCTTGGCAAAGGTACGGGATTGAGTAAACGCTTACCCAGTACGCTGGATGCTGCACTTCCACCCCCGTTGATGCTAGCTCGGTTACTGAAATGCGACTGTGCCATATCTCCCCCCCGAACGTCTTCACCCATCGGTACTCGGTTCACAGGATCGTTGGGTACGATGCCCACCGTTCCTGACGCCGGTCTAACTGCGATTTGGGTCGATTGATTTCTGCCTCAACCAAGTGGCGGAAACTGACCGACTGGCCTGTGCTTTCTTACCACGTGGGAGGTCTAGGAAACTGGGTATGCAACCTCAGTGGAGCTGCCTATACCGACTTTCACTTACCCATTGGTCTGACTTCCGGAACAGCCGTGGGTGCCCACAATCGGCCACAGGGAACTGGCGAGTCGACAGCGGGATGGATTGTCGCATAGCCCCTTTCGGAATGCGGATTTATCTTTCTGGGCTCTGATTCCTTGCAATTCCCGCCCCCATGCTACGTCAAGTTTCTAACTTAGCTCAAAGAAGATTCCAACCTCACCCGTTTGATACTTAATCTTATGTATCAATCCACATAAGAGCTGGGTCTGAAGGGCTACTTCAAGTTCACGTATCCAGGTATCGTCTTGCATGTAGCATTCCGTTTCACATTGGCTTCCGACCTTGGTGTTTAGGCTTAGTCGCAGTCCTGCACCTTGCCTGATAGGCATTTCCGTCGGATAGTAACAGCGGTTTATTTTCGGATTCCAGGGTTAAACTTCGCTGGAGAGCCCTGGGCTTCGACTTTCGAGTACTGCCTACAAGCAATTATTACAACGAATCTCAACCGGCTTCGCGCTGTGCGATCGTGGAAATGAGCGTTGTGTTGGATACACTAAGCTTTGCTTTACCGCATATGCCCCACTATAAGGGGCTCTTTGATACAGTCAGAGGTATTCCGTTAGTAATCTTCAAGTTGTGTTCATAAGGCTAAATGCACATGTGTTAGCAAGAGAGCTTTCCCCTAGTCAACGCTTTTGCCCTCTACTCCCGAAGTCACCGGTTCGAATCCGCGTGAGTGCTCGCGAACTCACGGTCAACCAAGCGCTCGTGGGGCTGTTGGCGTTCGCGGGGTAGCCAAGCCCCAATACGATGTGCCAGCATACTGCTGACGCCTTTGCCTTTTCTAATCTTCATTAAATCGGAATGGCTACCGGTTTTCTTTAACGGCACTATCTACACAGTACCACTGCAAAGGTGTGTGCAGCAGGCTACCTAATACGCTTCTAATCGTGCCACGCTGGGTCCGAAGTGACCATACTTCTTTGTCCAAAAGAGATTTGGTAAGAATGTATGCACCCTACGCGTCCCTGTCGACTAGACCATTTCTCAACTGATTGCAACCTTAACGCAATGACTTTCATCCGTATTGCAGTGTCTGTCAGAGATTTAGGAGTGCTCCCGCGACAAGATATGAGATCAATAGAATATACACTGAAATTGTACGGTGCGGTACTTCATATGCTCTGGGCATTACGACGTAATTTCTCCACATGGTCGCTCGCCTATTCACCTCGCTCATGAGACCAATCCTTGAATACAGTGCCCAAGCTTACTATCCGATAACCCAGTGGGACACGGGAAACTGGAGAAAGTACAACACGTCACAACTAGAATGATTCCCAGTCTACGAAAGCTTCCGTATAAAAGGCTGGGAAAGTCTCACACTACACACTGTCCTCCCGCCTAGTACGAACTGATTTCATTAGGACTCATCGAATACTACACTTGAAGCACATCTTCATATTTCACCTGCGGGAACCCTGTAATCATCGAGGATACCGTTACAAACTCAGGGTACCGCTTCAGGTTTGTACAGAACGAAAAATCGTATACTTATGAAATACACTGCCAGAACGACTAATAGAGGCTGATTCCGTAGAGTGTTTCGGAACACTTATTGACGATTATTTTGGATACCTATGCATTTGAGAAACGGTGCACATAAACTGCAAAAAGATACATCCTATACCCGCAACTAATGACCCCAATCGGAACTCCCAACTGAACAAGGATAAGCGATTAATTGACAAAACTGCCGTTGACAATCCTCAATTAAATGTTTTTGCTTTTTCATCCTTCGATAGAGGCGAACAGAAACTTTCCTACTTGCTCTTAAACACAGTCTCAGTCTAATTGAAAGCGTCGTGGATGTAATTTTCGTGACTATCGGATTATACTTTCTACTCTAAGGATGCAGACTGTTGCACTACGCATAAAAGCCATTGCGTTAAAGATGCAATCAATTGATAAACGTCATATACGGCTTTTTAATGATTCGACTGATGCGTACAACTTTATCCCGTCTGGCTCTGACCGAGTTCCTTCAAAATTGCTAGAAATTCCCTAATTTTCACTTGAAGGTATCGCACTGTCATCAAGTATATAGGAAAACACTCCCAATGAAGATAGCTGGTTTCTTGTATTCGATTATTTTATGGAATTTACGTGCATTCGATTAGCCGTGCCGCCGTCTGCAACCTCCAAGTTGAGTTCGTACTGCATGAACTCAGTGCTCAAAACAGGGAGTGTAAGCCGGATCAAAACAGCAGCCGCCATTGGCTAGAATTATAAACGATTCGAAACCCGACTGGGATTACCTCGGCGCATCACTAAAAGGCCTTGAAAGCCCATCCAGATTGCCAGTTTTAAGAATCTAAAGAATTTCTGCCACCTTGTTTGTGCAATTCAAATTGCTGTTTCCGCTCGCTAAAAGTTGGGCGAACAGAAGTACGAAAATGAGATTGCAACATTGGCGCATGGCCACCACCGGTGTGGTGGAGGGGTTTGTACCACAAACAACTGCTGATTCTTTAACCTGTTCACGGGCCGAGCATGAGAAAGGTTTCAATGAATAAGCGGGATACTAAACATTCTGAATGCCAGATCCTTCTACTCTCTGGTACCGTTGTACATTGAGCTGTGCATCTGATGACCCTCGAACTTCATATGATTCGGCATGAGCTTGCGCTTCACTAACCAAAACATCGTGACCGTCGTGGTTTAGCAGCAGTCACGAACCAATGACGATTGGTCGGGCGCTTACAATTTTACGACACTGAAGAATTACGCTTCCATACCAGAGATTGTTGGCCATGCTCGGAAACACGTACTCGGAAACATGATTTCTAGCCTCATCACTCCAGCCCCGAAGTTCTTCGGTGAGGTCGCACTGAAGATACCCATCAGTATGCAACATGGTCGAGTGAGCAATAGCCTATACGATTGGGTTTCCTTTTACCACTTGTTGCAGAATTCAGTCCTTCAGGGACAACCGTTTATTCGGCAGAGACACCTCAGCGAAAATTACATCATGTTTAGCAAGCTAAACGCCTTAATATAAACTGCACTTTCAAGTCCATAATAACGACCCTTCTAAGTCGATGAGATTCCTCCTTTGCTTCAGTTCAACAAACGGTGAATCCCTTACATGAATATCAGTCAATCCGAGTCCAGTAATCAAATCCGTCATGCCCGTCTCACTGGCTGTCTGGCTCGCTCAATTGGTCCAACTGCTCACTCAGATCTGATACTACCATCACACCACCTAGATTGTTAACCCTATATACACTCTCTGTGGGTCACTTTAGAGGTATCACTTGACCCGACGATGTGTTTGATTAAACTGTGCCACTGCTTGTCACCAACGGTTTTCTAAGTTGAACTGATCGAACCATTTAGTGTTCTCTTTTCACATATCGATGTGAATGATTTTTGCAGGTTTTTGTTCCATCGCTTCTTTTGAGGTGGACACTACGCCATGATAGGATTAGTCGCAAGGAAAACGTTAGTGTAACAGTCTTCATACTATCAAACAAGGATTAGTTGCACTTGTTTTGGTTATACATCTGGATATGCGCCATGCGTCCTCACCACATGCGGGACTTGCCATTAGCTTTAAAATTAGCCGCAATGAGTCACTTCTTAGGTAGGTTGATTACGTGTACGGTATTATTTCACTAGTATTTCTTCTTGTTGAGTGAAGACTGCACACCTTTACTCACTTGGTCTTAGCGATATCCATATAAGTTGTTTAAGAAGCGAATTTGACGATCTGCTTTTGGAGCCCGTGGCCTTAGAAATATGCAAAGGAGCTCATCTAGTCGGAAAGCATTTTATTAGATAACTTGGATTCTCTATTGGTTTGCAACTTGCTGAATCTACCGTGACCAATCGTCGTAATCAAACACCGTGCTACTCCGCTTCATTGCGAGCGCTGATCTACGCGACGCAACTTCATTTATGCAGCTCTCCGTAGCGTTATTGTGCGGACACTAGTAGTAATACTGAGGGCTTTGCGCTTTCGTTGTGTTGCCTGCGAATTCCTGTATATCGACCTGATCCCCCGTTGTCTGCGCATCATCAATGAGTAATGGGGAGAAGTTTCAAATATCGACCGAATAAGACCAACTGTTAGTTAAGGCTGGCACCTTTGTACTCCTTTTATGCCGACGATTACACTCAAAAGTACCCGATTGTTCTGGTTCACTCCGGCTGGTGGACTGACTCTATTACTTTGCTCATCCGAAACGAACAATGCCTTAAAGCAAAAATGGCAGGGCATCAGTTTACTCAAGGGGTGAATCATGTAGTTACTTAATGGATGCATAGAGTAATTTATGAATCAATACCTTCTACCAGCCAACTACTTGTGCCCAGCAGAGGTGTAGTTTCACTTCCCACGGTGTTTCATTAGGGATTGCTCTAGAAGACTGACGCCGTAGATCTTCCCAGAGAAGCTTTCTGATTTTGCCACCATGACTGCATGGTGTTGAGAACCGGTTGCGGTTTTTACTGCCGTAGGTCGCTTTATGCCCGTTGAAAACCCAAATAAATTGCTCTGTGTATTTGGCAGAATGATTTGGCAGAATGATGGCTTCATGAGCTACTCGACTTCTTACGGTCCATGGGCAGTACCGAGTATCTTGTGTGGTCCATAGCACAGTTTCCGTTTCCAAAAGCACATTTCTCCCATCTTACATGCGGATATGGTTCTTCATTTAAAGGTATTATGGTATGCGATTGCATTGTTTGCCTAAAGATGAGGTATCCGCGGATGCCCGGCTAGCTTCGAGGTATTTCTTGCAGAAAATGAAGTGGTCCTAGACAGGCGCGCAAGCTTGATAAGCCGTCAGATGAACACATCTTACTAATCAACCGAGATGGCCAGGCAAAGAAATGGAAGCTGTACATTCTCCGCGCAGAAGTGCGCACAGTGACTGTAAAATATTCATCTTACCTTTCTATGTGGGAAGGCCAACCAGTCTGATGAGTATTCAACCCCTGATATGCCAAGTCGGTAAACACTACGCTGCTCCAAATTAACCAACTACTAGACACAGATGGCTTCATGCGTTTCTCCGCGACCCACTTGACGCATTAGGTCGTTGTCTTCTGCGACCAAAAATCACCGAAAGAGCTGTTGGCGCCCCTGCAATAAACGCCGGTATTTTCATCTCACGTCAATCAGGCCAATTGTTTTGAAATGGTTGATAGTAGTCATAATTTTGGACGTGCATGTGGATTTTTCCTTCTGCTCCGAGATGACCGATTGGTTTTCAGCCCCTTCGTTATCAGGCTAGGCAACGTCATCAATACAGCCTCATGGGCCTGGTTCCTAGAGGTCCGTAACCTACTAGCTCCAAGGGCTAATGGTTCAATCTCTGCTTTGAAAGTCGGGTTCAAAGAACTCACGCGCCTGCTGATCATTTACTCTTCCGAGGAATTTGTCACGTTCCAGGTCGATTTGGTGGTTTTCAACATCCATTTGCATGGACATTAGTAGTTTTGGTAGTGCGGTTGGATGAGCAGACTATATTTATGTAGTCGTGTGTAAAGCCTTCCTGCTGTTTGTCCTGCGTAATATTTGACCCAGTTTCGACGATAGATCTCATAGAGCATGTCGCACTCTCACCCATGGTCGAGCCCTAATCCACTCATGTTGAGGGTCACATGCACATGTTGCTTTCCTCGTGCACCAGTAAAGGCCATCAAGAATGCCCATACAGTTGTTGATTACATCGTGTTCTGTTCAAAAGTGTTCTTTCTATACTAGGGTTACGTACGCTATAGAGCGGATGGTCTGGGAGATTTGGTCCCCGAGAATTATACGTATCATTTGGTGAAGGAGGTGGGATTTGAACCTACTTGTAGGAACCCCAATAGTAGGTGGGACATTTGGTGCGAGTATGCAGGTCAGTTAGGCTGCATCCGGAATTGCATAAACCACGAGCGGAAGCAATCAAAGCAGTGGACTGTTGTGAAGAGAACGAACCAAAGTTACACTCAGCATGGCTGAATAACGTCCAATCTACATTCAGTGCCATACACTACATCCAAGGAAGAAGTTACTGATGGAAATAGCTAGTGGAGCGTCAGGGACAATAATTAAGGCAAATGCCGTGAAGCACTTATCGCTCTTGTCTTCATGCATTTTCACCCTTCGAACATGTATAGGTGAGTCGATTCGTATTCCCTGTAAATGCCTTGTCCGTGCACAATATGGCACAATACGGCGACGAAGTCATGGAAATCGCGTTTACAGGACACGACATAGAAGGTGTGGAGCTACTCTCAGTAGAACGACTTCTTGACTTAGAATATGCTGATAATATTGCCCTAATCTGTGACAGCTCACAAACGTGCCAACCGGCACTGGACAGATTAGCACTAGCTGTCCGTCACTTCGGGCTTTGCTTCGCACCCTCGGAGTGCAAAGCGTTCCTCCAAGATTGGTCTGGATCGCCTCCTACGCTGACCCTTGGTGGGGATCAGCTAGAAGTCGTTCAAAAATTCAACTAACTGGAAAGTTGTATCAGCGCCCGTGGGATTGAAGATGAGATCACGAAGCGTATAGCAAAAGCTCTGGGTGCTTTTGCTAACCTTCGCCACTTATGACAGCGGCGCGACATCACTCTTGCCCTGAAGGGTAGAGTGTACGATGCAGCAGTACGTTCGACCCTATTGTACGGTTGTGAAACCTGGCCGCTCAAAGCAGCGGACTTGAAGAGGCTAGTTACGTTCGACCACCGGTGCCTTCGCAATTTAGCTTACATCTGGTGGGAACACCGCGTGAGCAACGAGCGTGTCCGACGCCTTGTTTATGGCACAGGAAAAGGAAATGAACCGTTGAGCACCGTTGTTTCACGCACCAGGTTCCGATGGCTCGGCCACGTGTTACGCATGCCAGCCCACCGACTCCCGCGACGTGTGTTGTTTGCGCGCCGAGGGTGTGGATGGAAGAAGAGGAGGGGTGGCCAAGCGATGACTTGGTCGAGAGGAATGAAGGCCCTCACTTCGGAGCTGGCCTCGGTTGGAGCGTCTCGGCTCCCTGGTTGGGGTCCGAAAGACGATGAACACGTTTGGCTGGATACACTTGTTGATATGGCTAGGAGCCGACTTCAGTGGCGTTCGTGCTGTGACTTTCTTTGTCCCACCGCATTTCTCATAGCCTCCCCTCCAACCATGATTTCACTATTTAACCTTATATAATTTTGCATAGTAATTTTTTCGATGCATAGTAGCCGGCTCTTAGCTTACCGGAACGATGCCCATCCGTTACCGGTAGCTCGGCCGGCTTGCCCCAGTTGAATTCTTTTTTCTCTCCTTTTTTCTGTGTTGCGGCACAGTAGCTGAGGTGTTCCCCACCTCTAGCTAACGTGTATGATGATGATGATGATGCACAATACGGCGTTGAGACACAGAATCTTCCTGCATATGTAATAGCACAAGTTCGAACATATCTACAAAGAAGGGACTGGATAGACGCATTCTCTAATACGTTTGATGTTTTAAAACAGTTAACGAATTCGTTGGACCATAGGAAATTCTGAAACAAAACGTAGAGCAATTGAGGAGGAGCTAGGAAAGCTGAACAACTTTCGAGCCACAATGAGTTTAAAGGAAAGTGCCCAGCTCGATTTCATCCAAGCACGAACACTACGGTATGACTTAAGGCCCGGATTTGAGTAAGAAATAAACCGCTTACGAATTCAAAGAATTATAGCACCAGTGGAATTTTCCATGTTGAGACGCCAAAGCGGATGACTACGTGCGGATTTGTGGAGAAGATGGCTACCAACCAGCCAGATATCCATTTTCCCGCATTGAAGACTTGTATGATACACTTGCTGCTGGTGAAAAATTCTCCAAACTTGATCTCAGTCACACATGTTCACAATTAGAGCTGGATGAGCCTTCTTGTGAATTTGCTTCAATCACTGCACACGTGGGACTTTGTCAATACACCAGTTTACCTTTTGGCATCAGCTCTGCCCAGTTTTCCACGGACTATCGATGTTTGGTAAAAGATGATCTTCTCATCTCCGGACACTTCGACACAGAACACTAGCTAATGTGCTTGAAAGATAAGCGCGAAACTGACTTAAATTGCAAGGTCTAAAGGTGAGTTCCTGTCTTTATCTGTGTGCTACCTTGAACATAGGCTTAATAAGCGTCGACATATATGTTAGAGATGACAAACTAAAATCCATATTAGGAAGCCATGAAGCCAGAAAAATGGATGATGTTTCGTTTCTCGTAATGTTATCTCTTTACCACAATTTCTTACCTGATGCGTCCACTGTGGTATCTTTTCTGAATGAGTTAATCCATTTAAACGCACAGTGATTTTAGGGTCCTCTGCAAAGAAGTGGCTTAACC